GGCAGCGACGTGCTGCTGGTGATCGGCGCCGAGCACGTGGCCGAGGTCGAGGAGATCCTGGCGGCGGGAGGCCCAGGCGACGGCGCGCAGGAGCTGCGGCGCCGCGCTTCCTCGTCGGCCCTCCCTCCCTCCCTTCTCGTCCTCCTCGTCCTCCTCCTCTACTGCTTCTCCCCTCCCTCCCTCCCTCCCCTCGTCCCTCCCTCCCCTCGTCCTCCTCCTCCTCCTCCTCCTCCTCCTCCTCCTCCTCCTCCTCATCCCCACCCCCACGTCCTCCTCCTGCTCCTCCTGCCCGGTGCCGGCGTCGTCTACGTCGGCCTGGGACGCAGGGTTTGTTGTGGGTTTGCCGTGGTGTCGGCGTCGTCCACTTGTCAGGAGGGAAAAAAACACACAGACAAAATTAATTGTCGATTTCAAGAAAATATAGGGAAATATGGGAAGTGGGGAGGAAGACAAAACCCCAGAAAATATGGGAAAATATGGGCAGTCCTTTTATTTGTGTCTATTTATTTGTGTGTCCTGGGGCCCCTTCGACTTGGGCGCGTCGAGAACAAAAGGCGACAGGCCAGGCCTGAAGGCTGGTGCCGCCGACCCTGGGCGACGACCCCCACGATGGAAGAGGCATTCGGGAAGGTCGGGATCAGACGCTCCCCAGAGTGCCCAAGAAGCTACACGAGGCTTCCAAGAGGTGCCCAAGAACCCCCCATGAAGTTTGTGGGGTGTCTTGGGAGCCTTTTGGGATCCGACTCGATATCGATTTCGGCCGCCCCGATGCGGCTCGATTCGGGCACTCCAGCGATGCGTTGCGGCCCGATGCTGGCGTGGCGATGTCGTGCAGCCTGACGCTGCCGATCCGATTCGGTTCCGACTCCGTGCCGATGCAGCCCGATCCGACGCTCATCTCGATGCGATCCGATCTCCCGATTCAATGCTGACGCTTCTCTTATAGGAGCAAGACATCATGCTAATGATGCGTTCCAGGAGTCCCTGATGCTCCGAGCGGGGAGGGGGGGCGGAAGGAGGAGGATGAGGAGGAGGCGGAGGAGGTGGTGGAGGAGGAGGAGGAGGAGGAGGAGGAGGAGGAGGAGGAGGAGGAGAGAGGAGGGGAGGAGGGGAGGAGGGGGGGGGGAAGGGGGAGATGGAGGAGGAGGAGGGAGGAGGAGGAGGAGGAGGAGGAGGAGGAGGAGGAGGAGCAGGAGCAGGAGGTGGAGGAGGAGGAGGAGGAGGAGGAGGGACCCGCAGAAGGAGGGCCGCTCAATGTTCCCAAACTCCTGGGACGCATCCTGGCGAAGACGCGGGCGGTGGCCCGTGCCAGGAGCTCCTGGGCGCCGCGGGCGGCGAGGACGCCGCGGCCGGCGACGAGTCGGACTGGCGCGTGGAGCTCGAGAAGCGCCCCCCCCCCACCCCTGCGCGCGCGCGGGGTGCCAGAGGGTCGCAAACAAAGAGGGGGCCCCGGCTCATCCGCCCGGGTATGTGTTCGTTTCCCCCCTCCTGCCCTCCCTTCCCTCCCTCAGCTTCCTCCGGATCCCTGACGCTGGATCCTCCCTCTCTTTCCTCTCTCCTTGTCCTCCTGCTGCTCATCCTGCTTCTCCTCCGCCTCCTCCTCCTGCTTCGTTGCGCGCGCCAACCATAGGGAGCTGCCCGGAGAAAGGAGCCACATGGTCGTTTCGCGTAGCACCGTACCACCGCGATAGTGGTTGGTTGTCAGCCCCTCCCCGTCCCTCCATTTCATCTAGCGTTTGCGTTCGGGCGACTTGGACGCACTCCTGCTTGTCTCTCTCTGTCCTGCTCTTTCCTGCTCGTCGTCCTTCACCCTCCTGGCCCAGACTGACAGGCTCACACCACTGGAGATCTGGGTCCGCAGGGGGTCTGTCCCAAACGTGGTGCGACGAGGAGGAGGAGGAGAAGGAGGAGGAGGAGGACGAGGAGGAGGAGGACGAGGAGGAGGAGGAGGAGGGGGAGGAGGAGGAGGAGGAGGAGGAGGAGGAGGAGGAGGAAGAGACTGGTACCGCTGCTCCACGGACCTCTCCTGAGGTGCGTTCTGATCAGAAGTCCGAGGCGATTCCAGCCGTGGCGGCAAGAGTTTCTTCGAATGAGCAGCGATGACATTTAACAGCACTGTTCCAAGTAATGATGACACTGGTAAGAGTGCAAACCGTACTAGTAGTTCTAAGAATGCGAGTAGTCATACTAATATGGATGGTATGTGTATTAGTATTGGTCAGAACACAATTCATCATACTAGTGGCAACGTTAAGGCGAATACTAATAAGCATGAACAAATAATTCCAATAACACAAATACGAATAAGCGTAGTAGTATTAGTAGCAGTAATCGTACTACGAATGCTAATTTGTAGTAGTCGTACTATCAGCTTAGTACTACGAAGGAAACTACTAGTAACGCACCTACTAACAATACGAACCATATTAACCATCCCATCATTCGTACTAGTAGTATGAATCATCATAATCGTACGATCAGTGAGACGACTAATAATAAAACGCAGACAAGCATATTACTAAAAAGAATATAGGAACAGTGACCAGACAATGAATAAAAAGCATGAGGCGAGTATTAAGAAGACAGACGCCGCGCACAACATAGGTGCATTGGCAAATGTGCAACAGCCGTCACTTGCCCACTTCTGACGGCACTGCTGTGAAACAGCGCCAGGCAGAGACAACGGCGTCGACCACGAGGAGGACGAGTCGAGAGGAGGAGGAGGAGGAGGAGGAGGGAGGAGGAGGAGGAGGGAGAGGAGGACGAGGACGAGGACAAGGAGGAGGAGGAGAGGAGGAGGAGGAGGAGGAGGAGGAGGAGGAGGAGGAGGAGGTCCCTTATGCAGCAAAAGAGCAGCAACACGTCCTCTCAAGGAGGGCCGATGCGCGAACTGCCTTTTTCCCCGATGCACGTCTCCCGCACGCGCATGCCCCGAGCTGCTCTGAAACGAAACGAGGAGGAGGAGGAGCAGGAGGGAGGAGGAGGAGGAGCAGGAGGGAGGAGGAGGAGGAGGAGGAGGAGGAGGAGGAGGAGGAGGAGGAGAAGGAGGACAAGGAGGAGGAGGAGGAGGAGGACGAGGAGGAGGACGAGGACGAGGCCGGGGGACGAGGACGAGGCAGGGGCGAGCGGCGGTGTCGGCTTGATCCCCTCTTCGGAGAGCGGCGTCGCAGCGCGGGCGGGGCCGCGGCGGCCCCGGGAGGGACGGCCAGAGGCGGGCGCTGGTGGCCGCGTTCCTCAACTCCACGCGCACGTTCCCGCCCGAGGCGGGCAGCTTGGGTCAGCAGTGCTGAACCGGGGCAGCGTGAGTCAGCGTGTCCTCCTCCCTCCTCCTCCCTCCTCCTCCTCCTCCTCCCTCCTCCTCCTCCTCCTCCTCCTCCTCCTCCTCCTCCTCCTCCTCCTCCCCCTCCCTCCTCCTCCCTCCTCCTCCTCCTCCTCCTCCTCCTCCTCCTCCCTCCTCCCTTCTCCTCCTCCTCCTCCACCTCCTCCTTCTCATGCAGACCCCCACCATCTCACCCCTCCAGTTGAGTATTGATGCGTGCGGCCGGACCAGGATCTAGGATCGAGGTCGGTTCGGCGAGGGTACCCGAATGTTCGTCGTGGTTGTTGGATGTTCTCGTGCATCCTGGGGGAGGGTTACCCTTGAGTGTTCATGAGTTTGGCGGGCGGAGGGTCTCAAGTTCTTGAAGGATGTTCTTCGGTCCTAGGTCTGGCCCGGGCCCTCACCATCTCACCCCCCCAGTTGGGGATTTATGTGCCCTTCAGAACCCGAAGGAGACGGCCTGTATGTCCATCTAGGGGGGCAAGTCGGCCAGTGAGGCCCAAGCCACGCCCATGGAGATAGGGGTCGGTTAGACGATACTCAGATAGTCTTTTGAGGTTCGAGGTTTGCAGACGTTTTCGTCGGTTCTCGGCGGTTCTCTCCTGACTTCGGATCTGCCGTGCTTTGGCTGATTTTCCAGCCTAGTACTGTGTCGGAGATGTATCCCAAGTACTGCGAACAAGTATGGCGGGATTTTTGTGCCTCAGAAAAGTAGGGCGCATAGTTCCGCAAAAACAGCTTGGAAACAGCGACGGCAAAGTAGGGCGGAAATCGACATCAAAGGAGCTTGAAAGGTAGGGCGGGGGTATCCGCTCTACTTACGAAATCGCCCAAAGCGCGGCGGATCCAGAGTGAGAGTCCAGCCTCGGGATACGTTCCAGCAGCTGCGCCTCGCCGAGGGCATTCCGGGGGGTCCTCGATCGTCCCGTGTGGCCACGGGAGAGCCGAGCTATGGGGGAAAACCCACCAGGCGCCCGCAAGGGGGGGACATGTTCAAGGAGGGAAGCATCGACCCCCAATCGCTCACGGATCCTCGGCAGGGGCCCGATGGCCCACCCCGCACAGGGCCGTGCGGATTCGTTTCTCGGGGCCTCCCACTGGGCCGCTCCCCCCCCCCCTAAACGTTGCCTCTCGCCCCCCCGCCCTTTCCCACGGCGATTTTGGCCGTTCTCGACTGGCCTTCAAGGTTGTCTGGCTTCGGGTTATAATGTTCCAACCTACTTTAGCCTTGATCACCAAAAAGAATTCCGAGCACCAGAAAAAAGTAGCCAAACTCGATGGTTTTCATGTGTCGGGCCCTCGGAGACACTCGCCCGACACTGTTTCGACACTCTTGCGACACTTTGCCGGGTGTTCGAAGTTATTTCTGGGATGTGGCCCTCAACTACGATGAGAGCAACATAAGCCTCGGGATGTCTTCCGGCAGGTGCTCCCGAGGCCCTTTCAGGGGTGCACGTGTATCGTCCCGAGCGTCCGAGGGCCGAGTTATACGTTATATCCTCGCGCCCCAAGAGAGGGCGGCGGAGCGGCCTTTGGGGGCCCCTGCTGGGCCTGAGGCCGTCAAGAGTGTACCCAGTGTCCTCCTCCTCCTCCTCCTCCTCCTCCTCCCTCTCCTCCTCCTCCTCCTCCTCCTCCTCCTCCTCCTCCTCCTCCTCCTCCTCCTCCTCCTCCTCCTCCTCCTCCTCCCTTGGAAGGCAGATTCGGACAGCCACGAGCGTGCCCAGGGTGAACCTCAGCCTGACGGCCCCACTCGTCTGACGGCCCCGCGCCGCCGTCGAACAGCTCCTCGTGGCAGTTCGCGCGTCCTTTGAGGCGGTCCTCTCGTGCGTCTAACGTTCCTCTCGTGGGGGGCGGGGAGCGTTTTTCGTGCGTTCGTGCAGCACTGGCCTCGGGGAGGAGGGCCCGACCTCCGGAGGCCCACGCCGCGAGCGGGGAGTGCGCACGGCGGCGGAGAGCTGGGCCCGCCCCCTTTGGAGGGCAGCCTCGGACAGCCAGGAACGAAGCCCGCGGGGCGCACAGGAGGAGGAGGAGGAGGAGGAGGGGGAGGAGGAGGGGGAGGAGGAGGAGGAGGGAGGAGGAGGAGGAGGGAGGAGGAAGCCTGGGCCCGAGCCGCGCCCGCCCAGAGGGGGCACCGCGCGCGCGGGGCTCGGGCGAGCGGGGCCATCGCCCGCGGCCGCAGGGCGGCTGAGCCTGGACTGCTGCTCGTCGTCCTGGCGGCGTGCCACCAGGGGCGAGCACGGCCAAGCGGGTTCGGTCCCCAGCTTGGCATCGGCGCCTTCGGCGCCAGCGAGGGGCGGCGAGGACCCTGCTCCGCGTCCTCAAGGCGCGCAGTATCTTGGACTTGCACCACAGCGCGGGCTCACCACCTGTCGAAGGCCTCTCAGCGCTGTTCGCGATGGCTCAACGCGGTGCTGGTCAGTCTCGTGGAGGTGGGCACGTTCGTGATCAGGGAGGGCACGCTCGTGATCAGGGAGGTCGTGACCAGGGAGGGCACGCTCGCGATCAACGAGAACCCAGAGGACACGCTCGTGATCAGGGAGGTCGTGATCAGGGAGGGCATCGCGATCAAGGGCGACGTCGGGCAGACGACGCTGTTCCTGACTTTCGGGCGGAGGCCAAGGAGATCATCACTTCGGCCACCATGTGCACCACGGCCTATGCTTTGGCATCGCCCTACTACCGCGGCCCCCCCTCAGCTCGGGAAGGCCTCGCTCGCTACCGCGAGGACGTGGCTTCCAAGATGAAGGTGCTTGCTGAGTTCATAGCCCGAGCACGAGTCTCCCAGCTCGACGCGTCACATCAGGAGAAGGAGTTGGCCGTTCTCAAGTTCATGGCGTGGACTGCGAAGCCGCAGTCGGTCCGTGAGAAGGAAGCCCTCGACGGGATCAGCAAGGCCAACGGGAAGCTGGAGGCAGTACGACGCCAACAGCGGGACCTTGAGATAGAGATCCTGTTGCAGGAGGCGAACGTGAGGTACTGGACGGACCTGCTCACAGAGGCGCGCAACCTGCCGCCCGAGTCGCCTAGCTCCGACGAGTACGGGCATGATCGAAGGAAGGCCCTTTCGATCTCCATCGCGCGCGACCCTCCAGCTGTTCGTGCCCACCAGGAGGGGAGTCAAGCTGGCCATGCTCGTGGAAGTGCTCCTGCTTCGGTAGCTGCTGATGCTGTTTGGACAAGCCCAGCTCGAGCCCCGCATCCCCCTCGTGATGATGGTCAGCCACTACAACAACCTACTCAGCACTCGGCGCGAGGACTTGGTCTTCCTCTTCAGCCTGGTCTTCAGCGTGACCATCGACCGCCGACATCCTCGTCTCCTAATGTCCCAGTGGTCGATGGCAGGCACATACGTGGCATCACTACTTCTGCCCCTGTCCAGCCGCGTTCACCTCCTCCTGTTGCCCAGGCTCCTACCACCGAGGACCTCTAGGCGGCCCAACGCTCCACGACCGCGAATTCCAGCCGCACGAACGTGGGAATGTCTGCTACGGCAGCTCCGCCCTCACCTGCGCCGCCGAGGACACCCTCGAAGATTTTGAGGACACCAGTTGCCACACCTCCAGCGCGTTCTCCCCAGGTCATCACGGAGACCAGTGAGATCACCATGATGCGAAAATGGCTTGAGGAGCAGATGACGATGCAAGGCCGTGCCATTCAGCAGATCAAGAAGGAAGTCCGCGAACGCGATGATCGCCATGCCCATTCAGCTCCACCTGCCGGCCAAGCCCAACCTGCTAGCTCTGCAGTTGCTGACCTACGACCCCAGGAAGCCAACATCGCACAACAGGCTGAACTGGAACGTGCCATTGCCGAACGTAACCAGTTGGTGGAGGAGTACACATTCCAACAGGCCGAACTTCGTCAACATAAGATCAGGGAGGAGTCCTACAAGCAGTTCGAGCACCAGCAACGTCACCAGCTACAATTGGCCGAGAAGTTAGCCTACGATGCGCAGCGCAGGGAGCACGACAAGACCTTCACCTACCAGCAGGAGATCTCTGAGACGCATGTCATGATGGAGCAGGCCGAGTCCACCAGGCGCAACCAGCGGGAGTACTGGGAGACGCTCAAGGCACAGGATGCAGAGATGCAGCAGCTCAAGAACATTATGGAGCACCAACATCGGTACCAGCAGGAACAAGCCTACGAGACGATGCGGATGCAGTTTGCGGAGGCCCGTGACCAGGACACCGAGCTCCTACGACGTCAGCAACTGGAAGTGCAGCAGCTTCGTGAACACCTACAAGCTAGCGAACGCGTCCAAGCTTTTGAACGCGCTGCTCTCCGCAAGGGGCTTCATGATGTTCGTGAGGAAAAAGCCGAGGCAGCTCGTCAGGCTTCTATGATTGTGGAAGCCCTCGATGCTCGTATTCACTCGGAGCTTGCCGAACTTCAACAATTTGGGGATCTTGGAGCAGAAGACACTGTTGAGGACCCATATCATGAGCTTGACGGAGCTGCATACTTTGCCGACTTGAAGAGCTCTGACTTCCTTGAAGAGAACAATGCAAATGGCCCTACACCTTCTACCATGCTCGCTGCCCCGCCCGACAAGGGCTCCGTACATGAAGACGACGGCCCTGCTCAACGGACTTCTACCTATGCGGTACCGCAGGCAAGGACTACGGCACCTGCTTCCTCGCTTTCGACCTCAGCTTCATCGACAGCTACCTGGGCGCCTACCCTCACGAGCTCTCTGGCATCTCTTGGAGCAACACCCAACCTCAGCAATATCTTTGGCATGATCGGTAGGCAGGAGAAGGGCATCATACCCCTCAACGATTTCGTCCTGAGCTCCCCTCCTAATCCAAGCCTCGCTGAATTGACTGGTGACAAGACGGCGTTGGTCCCCATACATGACGATGCCGAAGAAGCTGAGCGTGTGCGTGAACCGCTACCCAGTCAGCTCGTCCTGCCCCCTAGCCAACAAGCCCTGCTCGAGGC